AAGTCCTGGATTTATATTAAATTTATTGTTTCTAACAGTTTACCCATTTACTTGTTTATGACTCTTGTATGCCAACAGCGCACGAGTTGAAGCAGGCGAAGACTTCATCCGTTGTCCTTGGGCCAAGCCGATATTTTTGGTTCGGTGGATAACAAGGCAGATGTGCTAATGGTGAATAAAGAGGCTAGAATGTCACAGAACACTCAGACTGCACGTGATTGATTTGGTGGCTTCATGCTTCTCTGTGCGAACTTTCCTTTGCAAGCCTACTTTACATTCGATCAGCCACCAAGGGCAATGCCAACTCACTTGTCAGTCTGAGCACACGCGTTCTTTGCTTTGCTCACTAAACAGGTAATAGCACAGCTGAGTTGTTAATGGAAATACCGGATCCCCGTACCAGCCGAAATAAAATAACCTTACTGATGATTCTAATTGACTTCTTACTACAACCTCGCACCGAAAAAATTATGAGAAAAGTAATAATAATCGGGATTTCTCCACAAAGATAATTACTGCTCACACAAAAGAATGACCAATATAAAGCGGTGTGGTAAATTAAAGTGTACTAAGCATGTAAGATTTTAAGTTATCGATGCTGATCTTTTGGGTTGTAACGTCGTACGGACTTGTAGGCAATGTCTGAAGATGGAGGCAGTACGTTCCTCCGAAACGTTGACATCTATCTGGAAGATTTCTGTCTTCTGGGTTGTTGCGCTGTGTAGTATGGTCGATGTTTACCAATGTTTCAGAGGTCATACTGCCTCTGTCATCAGGGCGAAGAATCGCAGTATGACCTCTGAAACGTTGGTAAACATCGACCAGACTGCACAGTGCAACAATCCAGAAGATAGAAATCTTCATCGCCCTGATGATGGAGGCAGTATGACCTCTGAAACGTTGGTAAACATCGACCAGACTACACAGCGCAACAACCCAGAAGACAGAAATCTTCATACTCACCGCTGTGAAAACCTCAAATCTTTCATCTATCTAGAAGTCTGCGTGGCGTTACAACCCAGAAGATCAACACTGCAAATAACCTTTTTTACACACGCTTATACTACACAAACTGTTTCATACAGTGTAAAACTAGTTTATACTTTAAAAATGAACCATCATCACAGAAAGTTACAACCTGCCAGACAGACATTTTCTTACAAAGACGGATAAAAAGGGTGCACCTAGCCGAGACTTTTGTCTGCAATAAATAAACATCTAAAGATGGATGTTTTCTGCGTTGTAGTGACCTGTAGTCTGGTAAGTTAACCAACGACTCAGAGGTCCTTGCTGTCTCCATCATCAGGGCTATGGCCTTGATGATGGCGCTAGAACCCAGAAGACAGCCATCTTCGGAATCACCGCCATGAAAGCCTAAAATCCTACTGAATACATTGTACAATATAATACTTTCATTGCCGTATACTTTCCCGATCATGTTTATTTCGAGAAGCTAAACTAAAAGAAGTGACGCGTATTTTTCCTTCTGTACAAACTGCGACATTCCGCGAGATCGTGACTTGGCTGTTACGTGGCTGTCCTCTATCAGCATGTCAGTGATGTGTGCAAGTTGCCTCACACACTTAGCAGACCTTGCGTCAATCTGACGCCATAAACAGGTGCCAGCAAACAAAGTTCTAATTGTACTTGAAATAGAACAGCACCTGACATACATTTCCTCACATCAAATCACACAGCTTACAGCCAATTCCAAAATAAAAAGATCCGGGTTCAGTCAAATTCAACTTTCGATGTCAACTCTCAACCTGATATCAGAGTTGTTACAAACCTAAAATCGGCTTATTCTCATTTAAATAACGCAGGACAAATCCCAGTAACGGAAATGCTGGTGAGATTTTACGTTCTCATGGCCGCGAGTATGAAGATGTTATACCGTGTAGTTTGGTACAATGATGGCGGCATCAAGGACCTCTGAAATGTCGGTAACTTCTACCAGACTACACGGCGTTGTATCCCTAGAGGCAGCCATCTTCATACTACAAATGCTATTCAGTGACGTAGAGATAATCCGCAATACTGGACGTAAGACCTACAATGCATGCGATCCCAGTAACCTGGAAAGTAATTATCAGAAACAATTTTCGACATTACTGCAGGAATCACGTTTGATTAATAAAATTCCTGGAGAAGTTATTACTCCAAAACAGAAATACTATTCAGAATGAAATTATACAGAAGAAAGTATAAAGGTGATGATTTATCTAATGTATATTAATGCAATTACATCGTTGTTATCCCAGAACAACTTAGAGCACTGCCACACTAATTAAGAAACGGCCTTGAAAAGGTCTAATTAATTCTACATATTTCCCTAATGAATTACTTTCACCACAAAGAAGTAATGACGTCTTCAAGACATTTTCAACAATCGAACATGTAAGTTCCTTCTTACATCCAAGACAGAAAATGAAGAAATGTTTCAAGTCTGGTTTATTTCCTGGCATCATCAAGGTGACTAATGATTCGGGGATTAACCACAACTGAATGTTGTTTTGTTGCTGAACGACTGAAATTAACAAGAGACATACATGAACAAAGCTTGGTCATAGAGGCCTATAGGTTATGGTCGTCATATAGATGTGGATTGAAGCAGATGTGAGCGTACACACTGTCATTGCAATAAGCACATATTAAGCGTGCACTTGGGTTATCCTATCGGTTTTAGATTACAGCTCTTGGTCATATTACTGAACCAGAAGATGGACATATCTAGATACGTTTTGAAGAAAAAGTCTTTCAAGCGCTTATAAAGTAGTTCACACTACATGTTAAACATGGTTGCTTACATATTACCAACACTTGCAAAATAAAAATAATACACCTACATTATCATTAGCGGCCGGACACGCTTTTTAAAAAGCAGCACAACAAGGTCGTGTCTGTTGACAATATCCAATATTATTAAAAAATCGATACTTTGGTAACCTGAAATGGCGTAATTTTACAGTCTTCTTAAGTATGGCGGTAAAATTTTTATTTTTCCGCACACCAGGGCTACATCAGATTCGAAACGAGTGGTAGGTAATTCCATTCACTCAAAATTTCAATTACAGGAAAATACAAAATTCTGTAGGAGTGTTAATCTGAGATAAAAGTATCGCGAATAAAAGTTGCAAGTTGGTACAGTATCAATTAGATCAATCCTATAGGATAATCACTTATTTAAACAAAATCACTAATATGTTAACATCACTTATTCATTATGCACCATAATCAGCGTTTCTAACCTCCCACTGTCACCTATTCTTTTGCATAGTACGTATCTACCTATTTATACAGAAGACGGAACTAAGTAAATGGAAGTCTGAAATAGTAAAACACGTCCAACCAAAGAACAGGAAATAAAGCTTAATAAAAATCTGTCAAAAGATTCGAAGGTTAGGTAGACATAAGCAAAAGACCAGTAAGTTCTCGTGTACGAGCTCTTACAACGGGCCGAGCTGAACCAGAATCAAAAAGCCTCGACAAATTTTAGTGGAGGTCCATCATATCGAGTTTGATCCATCCATCCAGTTATTCTGGAATGACTGCGCGAGTACAGACGGTAACCAATAGTAATGACATTATCTCACAAAATTGACAAAGACCATGTGTGTTTCCAAGATGTCCTCTCTTCATGGTCAGCGCCTTCTAAACCCACTTCTATTAATAAAAGTTATGATATTCACTATCCTTTGGAATACTTCACAACCTGCATTCATGGTTTTATTAAACAACTTTTGTCTTTTCAGAATTATTCTCCTTAAAAGATTGATTTTAATATATACATAAAAATCGCATTTTATTCTTCTGCCATAAGTTCCGGTTCTTGGTTCCATGCCAACAAGGGGGGAAGATCAGCATGAAGTCAGCAAGTCACAGCTGTGAAGACCTCTTTGCGTAAAACAAATATTCAAGGAAACTCTCGTTCCTCATATAATTTGTTTCGGTAGATGTAACGTGACTAGGCCATTTCAACTAATTCCTGTTCAAAAAATGTAATGATTCATTAGTTAAGACGCGTTTCTTATACTAAGCAGTCAAATGTATTACCTAATGACGCAAAATAGCTTTGGATAGTTGATTAATTTTATTCATTCTAAAGGCAGCTGAAAAACAACTTGATATTGCATCTCAAAGAATAATCAAGGTGAATCAATAAATAATCGAATATAATCATTGAAAATGCCAAGTGTTTTTATTTATGTGATTATTGTCACCTAGAAATAAAACCAAAGAAAAATTATTTACAATTTATAAAACATAATAGAATGAAAATAATAACAGTCTTCACAACACCAACAAATCAACAATTTTTTTATTACCAGTATCTGGTTGGATGATCGTTCACCTCTGCTTAGGCATGTGAACGTGAGACCAGCAGCCAGCTAGTCGGCTTTGGCTCTCTGGAGCTGTTACGCCACGGATTTAATTTAATTTAATTTTGTTTCACCTTTTATTCACAATTTTCCCTAGTTTGGATTAACTTTTTGAAGATTTCTGTCTTCTGGGTTATTGCGCTGTGTAGTCTGGTCGATGTTAACCAACGTTTCAGAGGTCATACTGCCTCCGTCATCAGGGCGAATATTCATCGCCCTGATGACGGAGGCAGTATGACCTCTGAAACGTTGGTTAACATCGACCAGACTACACAGCGCAATAATCCAGAAGACAGAAATCTTCATACTCACCGCTGTGAGAACCTCAAGTCTTACATAACTTTTTGAAGTTATTTATAATTTATTATGTCTGTAATTGATCAGACTGAATTTCATGAACAATCTGCTGTCTCCAGATAACAGCATGTTTTGTCACTAGGTTTTACCACGGTCACTCTAATGCAGTGGTATTCAACCTCAAGTACGCGAAGACATCTTAGGAGGTACGTGAAATTTTTTTAAAAAAAAAAATTATGATAAACACTGAATAATCAGTAATGTAATTTATTTAATTTATTACGGATGTAGATTATATACTATGTATAACTTGAATTATACACCAACAATTTTGGGGGTACAAAGTTGAAGGGAACATATATCTGGGGGTACGCGAACAAAAAAGGTTGAATACCACTGCTCTAATGGATGCTTAGTGTAACAAGTCTATACATACACCATCCGCAACATAATTATTAAGTGTGTAATTAGTTTATAGGTTATTTTATTATGACATACCAACTCTGGCAGTTATTGAAATTAAAGGATGACGAGTGAATTGGAAATGATTTTTAGGAAGTTGACGCCATGCGCCGTTTCAAGGTACTCCTCTGCTAATACTGACGAAAACCACAAAGTACAACAGAACAGTTGTACGTCTTGGCTAAGACTTACTACAGAACGGAAGCTGGATGCATCACTCTTTGGATGTTCCGCCCCATGACTGTCACGTCACTAAAATTCTTGACGGTTTTTTCATGTGGTAATAAAGCATTTTGCTCTCAGGTCCACAAATCATAACTGAAGAATTTTTCAATTCCTGTAAAAGATATGTTTAACATTAAATTTAAACTTTCAAACTGCTACAGTGACGACCTAGTGAATGAGAATGTACCGACAGGCTGAATAATTCCATGTTATGTTCGCTCATGAATACAGAATACAAAATTGTAAAGCTTTGGCAAACAATTTTCTTATTAATAGCAATGGCCAGTATCAATGAATATGTCCTACAAAGATTTACTAGAAATTACTGTTCTTCACAGCCACAGCAGCTGCATTCACCTGGACAGCACCGAGAATCTAGCTGGATGAGAACCAGTCCGAGCTCATTGCACCAAAGAAAGCTGCTGCCCCTGACCTCATCAGTTCGCCAGGAGTCTGGTCAGTTTTTGGTTTTGGACTCGATTTCTTGCGCTACAGATGCACATGAAATAAGTGATATCAGGAACACAGAAAAATACCTCATTTAACTTCATGGGTATAAAAATATGTGGTTTTATAATTTATTAATTTGTTTTAGACCCACAGCAGTGGTTTCCAAACTGATACATGTAGCCCTGAATTAAAATGGATTCATTAAAGGGTATATAATTTAAATTTTTAAAAATATTTCCATGCCACTTTGTGCTGGATGTGACACAATGCCATTTCAGTAGCCATGTATGGTACACTTCTGTAAATATATATCATGTATCACCCATTTACTGTTTGTACTCAGACACAGAGTCTCATTCAAACTATTCCTTGCTTTCCAGCAAGAGACAAAATTATAACCTACATGGACAGGCACGCCATAAATTAGATTGCATTGCAAAATGTATTTTACCATAAATAACATGCAAGCCATGGGTCCAATACGTTTTTGTTTTCATATAAACTTTATTTGAATAAATTAAATTACAAACACCAAGCAAATAGATAAATCTGTGTAGGATTTGTAACAGGCCTCTTCAACAAAAAACAGACTCTTTAATTAATGAACAAATTCCAAAAACAATGCAGTGTTACATTATGTGAGTACTACTAGAACATGCCACTATCACTATTATTTTTAATTAACAGGTAATTAATCTAAAACAATTAAGTGATTAACGTAATTCATGGTATAAGACAGGACAGAACTCTGCAGAGCAATGCCATCCCAGCACAGTCCATTTTGAATAAAATAAATTCTGTTTCTCATTATATGTATTAATAACATTTAATTTTGGGGAATGCTCTATCCTGTCATTTATACACCACATTATAATTCGTTAGTTCCCTTTCTAACAAAACACAGCACACTTTAATACGTACACATTTCACAGAGATCATCACAGGGCAAATAACTGCAATAAAATAAAATGGCAATGTATATCTGAGATACCCAAAACAATGTAACGAAAGTGTCTGTCCTTCGTATGTTCGTAAAAAAGCAATGTGGTAGTTTACATCGTCTATTGCTGAATGTGACATACTATGTGATACAAGATTAACAATGAGGAAAATACAGGCAACTAAAAAATTTAGGTCAATTTTATTTTAAATGATGTCAAAATAATCACAGTACTTATGTGTATATTATTATTAAAATGTTAATACCCTGTTTCAACATGTCTGGACCAGTGGCCAACAAGTTTCAAGATTCCATGAGATTGAAATGCCATGCCCATGCACTGCATCTATCCATGAGTAACGCTTATTTCCAATCCAATTTCATAAAAGGCTCTTTTTCAGTTGCCTCAGATACGCTGATCGATTTGTTCCTTACCTCAATATATGTTTCAGACAATGGCTACCCAAAACAAGTAAAAAGTAAAGTCTGTCCCACTACGTGCCACACAGGCGCTTGGGGTGAGTGGAGGTATAGCTCCTCTCTTTCTTGACCTTGGCACTAGATGGGGGTGAGTGATCAGCATCATGCCCCGGCCGGCTTTACCCCCGGGAAAGGACCCCGGTACCCATTGTAGAGGAGGCTGGGTGGGCCCCAGAGCCGGTCTGGATGCAGAGGAAAAATCCTCTGCCCCCATTGGGGATTGAACCCCGATCATCCAGCCCATAGCTAGTCACTATACTGACTGAGCTATCCCGGCTCATACCCAAAACAAGTATCAACAACAGTTCTGCTGTTGAGTCTTTCGACCCATTCCTCTAGGTCATACAGTACTTACGATACTGAACAGTCATTTTTCAGTAGGTTTAACTAGTCTTCATGCCCTTTCGTTTAAATTTAGATCAAAGATCGCTTTTATTCTTTGGTGTATTATACCAATGTAGCAGTCATATTAAATATGCCACAGTATTATCACTAATCAAAAGACAATAAAATTCAATCAGATGCAAACGACAGATGTTCATATTTTTCATATACACGTTTTCAGGACTCTCAACATCACTTCTGAGGTAAACTAAAATTGCCTATACTTTGTGGCTTTCCTTTCTATTTCTACGCTGCCATATCATTAAATATTTTGAACTTGTCTTCCCTAACCACCTACAAGATTATAAGGCATTACAACTCAGACGAGCACTACCACATTTTTACTGCTGTGAAAACATTAAATCTCATTTAAAGGGGAAATTCTGCTACACATCTGTCGAGCTGTAGAGCGAGTCATGCTGTTAAAATCTTATAATCTACAAATTCTCTTGAGAACATCACTTTACTTTTTTAAACTCTTTATTGCCAGGACTGAATGTACTCATACCCTGTGTATGTATAGACAGCAGATTTTGTGCTCTTATTGTGTGCTGCTGCAAATTTTGGGAAATGTTCAAACTGTATCACTTCATACTTTGGCCACAGAGTAATACAGAAGCATGGGCTATATTCATCTGCATGTTATACTACAGGATACATAAAAGAAGCAATTTCTTTCTTAAAAATAACGTAGAATACTTTGCAAGAATATAACACTCTCATGATAGTTTTAGTTACAGTGGTGGTGGGTAATTGCTACGACATTAAAAAAATCACTGAAAATAATTAAGAACTGGGGAAGATGCCACAGCAGTGAAATAGTGAACATAACAGAAAGTTTAAATAATCTTCTGAATGGCACGCATTTCACTAGTCTAACTTACCTATAGGCTGCAAGAGCTGTGCTATGACGTGGTTACCTGAGGTTTGTCTGAGTGGATCTGAGGAATGCCACTTATAATGCGAGTGCCAGGGGGCCCTGTGACTGGCAGAAGAGAGAACCAGGGAGCATTCGTGCAAAGGGAGAGCACACTTGGGTCCTCGACTGTACTGCTGCTGGTTGCTCGCAACCCAGACATGACTGCAAACTTCTCTGGCCAAGCTATCAGCACACCTAACAAACCCTGTTTTAAAGCAGCAGAGAGTAAAATCCAGAATAATGTAGGACAGGCACAGTTTAATGTTCTGTCTTGCAAATTAACTTTTTGAAAGGCAAGCCATTATTGTCTTTAAACAGAAAGAAATGTTCATGCATAATTTTATATATTATGTTGCTATTTTTCATTTATGACATAAGTAACTCTTGCATCAAGCAGAAGGATTATTGTGAATTTAATTATGATTATATTATTGTAAGTAATTATTGAAATTTATGTCTACATGAAATGAAGAAAATTATGATGTCAGAAAAACAATGCTCAAACCCTGTCTTCTGAATAAGAGGAATGATACGACGAGTCTGAGCTATATGAAACGCGATGATGAATATCATAAAAATATTCTAGTGTTTTGTCTTGATCTCAATAGCAGTACAAGTTAAATTAAATTTGAATATGCTGCTTATGAGTTAAAATACCAATACAATTAGTAGCAATGGTTAATGTCAAAACTCATTATGCTATTGATGAACTATGGCCATAGCCAATAAAATTAGAAGTATGGAGGTATAAATCTATAAATCGCTCACAATGACACTGCAAAATCTCTGTGGATTTTAAAACAGCGAGACTGCCGCCACTGATAACTTTGCAAGACAAATCTTTTTGTAATAACACTACTGCTAGATGGAGAGTGTTAACTTACCTGAGTCCTCTGAACGCTCTTCTTAATATTGTTCTGAATGTACGGACAGAAAACATCCAAGTCAAACGGATCAATTTTATCTTCAAACTTGTCACTTAACACTTGTGACTTTCCCAACAACACCTGTGTTAAAAATATCAGAAAAAACATATTTACATTCGCATACTAAGTAAATACAAGTACATAGAAATTATGTATTAAAATTTCCATACAACTATTATTCACTGAAAAAAAAGTATATACAAGAAACATACATCAATAACAGAGTTCATTGCCTATATACTGCCTATACTCCAACAGAGTCCTGCAGCATATATTGTAAATACCAAATCCTGACTGTTTCTACAGTTTTTAACTGTCTCAGAATATATTCACTCATGTACTATCTGGCAGATAGCCAGTGGGCCCATTAGTGGCCACTGTTCCACACAGACAAAGTCTCAACTGAACATAAAAAAAAGATTGTTGTTTTCTGGGATGTTCCACCAAGTAGACCGGTAAATACTGGTAGACATTTAAGAGGAGCTAACTGCCTCCATCAGATTATTAAACAGACTTCACACTGCAGCATCACAGCAGGCAGCCAGCCATCTTTAATTGTTGCTGTGAGAGCCTTAAATCTCACATAACAAAAACAGCTACAATAGTCTTACTGCATACAGTAGGGCCCCGCTTTTCGGCGCTCCGCTTTATGGCGACCGCTAATACGGCGCTCAACAGCTGAGTCAGAGAAGTGCGTCCAGTGCCATTTTCTCATCGCTGATTCAGTCTGTTTACAGCTTTTGTGCGCTCCGTGTCTCTGTATTTCTGGCAATTTTTCAGTTATTACAAACTGTATATTTATATAATATTTTTGTGTTACTACAGTGTAATTACAATGGCGTCTAAGGGTAGTAGCGATAAAAAGAGGAGTCGTAAGCCTCTTACTTTAAATGCCAAGTTAGAGATGATTAAACTTCGTGAACAAGGCATGTCTATGGCTTCCGAACCATCACCAAAACGAATAAAATTCGTTGAAGAGTCAGATGATGAAGATGCGCCATCTCCTTCATCCTTCCTACTATAAGCATATCAATTTTCAAATTTATATTCACCAATCACTATAAGCTGAGGACAATGTGTGTATTTCGTCAATTTATGTTTACAACAAACATCCAGTTAATTCCTACATCTGTCTGTAACAACTTATTCGCCATAAAAGAGCAACCAACAACCAGTTCCACTGATATGGAAATTTAACATGTGACAGACATCCATATTACAAAAAGGAAGGCATTAATCAGGATTTCGACCAATACGGCATAATACAGAGTGGCGCACGAAATGTCATACCATTTGTTTTACATATAACACATTTTTATTTTTATTTTTACAAAAGTAGTACAAAACTGGTATAGAATTAATCACTATAGCCTGGAAAATTGTTCCTAATGAATAATGTGTTCAATATGACCGCCGTTTTGCCTCACAACCTCTTGCAAACGAACCCTTGTGTTCATCACCACTTTTCGACACAGGTCTTCAGATAGCGCACGGCACAACTGCACTATGCGGGCTCTGAACTGCACTACATTTTCTGGCCTCCTTTGGTACACTTTCTCTTTGAAGAAACCCAACAAGAAGAAATCACACAGATTAATGTCCGGGCTATGAGGCGGCCACATTTTGCATTGTGGGCAATGGAGGAAGAGGCCGTACTTCACATCATGTGGTTTACAGACGAGGCCTACTTTCATGTGAACGGTGTTGTGAATAAACAAAACGTTCGATTCTGGGCGAGGGAACATCCTCATATACTGCACAAGAAAGAAAGTTATGAGGAAATAATGTATGGGCCGCAATTTCGAGTCACGGAATCATTGGTCCATTTTTCTTCGATGAAACCGTTAACAAAGATCGATACAAAGACATGTTGGAAAACAGTTTTATCCCCCATCTCTTGGCAACAGGTCTCCCTATGCAAACACAGTGGTTCATGCAGGATGGAGCCCGTCCACACACTGCGAACGTGGTTCTTGATTTCCTACACGAGACGTTTAATCTTCGTGTGATGTCGCATCGGTTTCCTGAACATCATGAGGGCGGCAAAATGTGGCCGCCTCATAGCTCGGACATTAATCCGTGTGATTTCTTCTTTTGGGTTTCTTCAAAGAGAAAGTGTACCAAAGGAGGCCAGAAAATGTAGTGCAGTTCAGAGCCCGCATAGTGCAGTTGTGCTGTGCGCTATCTGAAGACCTGTGTCGAAAAGTGGTGATGAACACAAGGGTTCGTTTGCAAGAGGTTGTGAGGCAAAACGGCGGTCATATTGAACACATTATTCATTAGGAACAATTTTCCAGGCTATAGTGATTAATTCTATACCAGTTTTGTACTACTTTTGTAAAAATAAAAATAAAAATGTGTTATATGTAAAACAAATGGTATGATATTTCGTGCGCCACCCTGTATGATAGTAAAGGGGCTTGCATTCTATGTAAACTGGAATTTACAGCAGAAAATAATAAAATTTCATAAGAACAGGTAACATAAATAGATGTAACCACTTAAAATTTAATTTCTTATGGCACTTATGGCAAGAATTAAAAAGATCAGAACAGGAGAATCAATGGAATCAAAATAAATTATGTAAACTGCAGTAAGATGTAAATTTCAAGAACATAAATTCATCTTTTCTTTTCAAAGTGTTATTTACATCCTGAAGAAAAAAGATAAATTAATGGCCATTTTTGAAACTATTAAAATGATTTCAATGATTCGAGCACCAGTCTACAGTCTGCTGTATCAACATTTCATGGCATTTTGTGGAAAATTCCAAAGCTAACACATGTATTTAATTTGTTCCTGTTCAATCATTAACTGAACAGATATAAACTGACAATGTTATTGTACGATTACTTTTTATAAATCACACACAGCTCACATGCTAAACATCGTGAAAGTCTAATGCATGCGGCACAAACAGCAAAAACGTATTTAAAATTTCTACAGTGATGACTGTGCCACACATAAGGTCACCATTACATAACCTAGAAACATTTTTTTATGCAAGACTTGACAAGAACTGAGCATTACCCTCACCTTGTTGTCTCGTGGAACAAGCAGCATTGTGAGATATTTGACATCCAGCAGCAGCTGCAAGGCCTGTGTCTGAGAGATGGCAGTATTGTTGCTAATTTCATCATAGTGTGTCAACATGTTGTCAACTAGGCATTCTACCAAGTCCTGATGGATCTTTCTGTAACAGATATTAATATGATAATTTCATATCCAGTTCTTTCACTTTTCTTCCCTGATTCTCTAAATGTCTGTAACAATGGTTGCTTCATTGTGTGAATATTACGTTGGACATTGTCCATTGCCTGAGGTACATGAGATTACGTAACTTTTCAGTTGGCTCTACTCCTGTCTTCAGATAAGTGGTTCATGTAAAACTGAAAGCTTTGTTATTACTTACAAGTGATCTAGATGGCTGTACTGTTCAGTACTTTGGCTGTGTGCTAGTATTACAGAGGTACATACTGCCTCTATCATCAGGGCCAAAGTGAGAAGTATTACAGAGTAGATGGACTATAACAAAATAGGAGATAAATCAGGCCAAACGGACCAGCAAATCAGCGCCAAAGGATGAAAAGGGGAAATGGAACCATGAATGGGTCAACAGAAAAGAGCATCAGGAAGAAATACTGCAACAGGAAAATGAAAAAGTGGCCAACGCACGGGAAGGTAGGATCAAGATGAAGTCTTGTTCTTGCAGAGAATTTTCTTTGCCTATTACTTCAGGGTTTGTATGTAGCTCTGCTCAAAAATTCGTCGTCTACATTGATGTTTGAATGAAGTTTGATCTCCGACACTTCCCTAATGATCCCTCATGATCAATGTCCATTCATCTAGATTGGCCAGGATACTAACGTCATTCAACAGGATACAGTGTCTCATGCACACACTAAGTTCAATCACAGCTGACATCCAGATCATAGAGCCAGATATGATAATGATGTTCCTTGACCCTTCTTTCAATGGAATGACCAGTTCATTCAATAAAAACCTTCACACATTCACAGAGATGCTAAAAACACCTGGTGGTTTTAAGAGCTAGGTTATCCTTGACAGCCCAGAGGAACCTAGAAGATTATTCTTTGCTTCCACAAGGAGCAAGAAAACCATAGAAGAAAGATCCATTTACCATATTGCCTTTGATTTTTGATTTTATAGCTCTGCCCAGAACTCCCAAAATGCTGTCAAGTGATTTTAAGCACAACACTGGCTTGATATATCATGTAGGTGTTATGACAGTCTGCAGTCCTACAATTTGCATTTATCAGAACGCAGCCATAATGAGAAGTCATCAAATGTCTTAAATGACGATGTGATAACTGAAGTAGGTTACTGACAACAAAAACAAAAATATGAAAGTAAGTGGAAATACAATCTATGTATATTTGTATGTACATGCACATATGTGTGAATGTAATCCATAACATGTTTTTTCTGCATTATTTAATATCCTTAATCTTGTATGATTTGAGGTTTTCACAGCGGTGAGAATGAAGATTTCTGTCTTCTGTGTTGTTGCACCGTGTAGTAATAAACATCTACTATATTACACAGCGCAACGACCCAGAAGACAGAAATCTTCATCTTTATTCTTGCCTGACAAGTAAATAAAACAGTCCAAAATTATTTATTTTTTCCAAGAAATGTTATAAAGTAATAGTTCAACTTGAAACAAGTCATTCCATGCACAAACCTTGGTAATGTGTGGGGTGCCACAGCACTGATCACCTGGACCACTGAATTGAGTAATGACTGAAGTGGAAGACTTGGTTGAGATGGAACTCTGATATCTGAGCGAATACTCCGTCCTTCATCTGCTTCTTCCTCAATACTAACAACATCCCATTGCTGTAACAGCAATATTATTTTTTTATTATTCATTCATCTGAACTGTTTCTACACACAATATATAGAATACACACAAACACAACTTACAGCCTCCTTTGTTCATAATCATTGTTCTCTTAACCTACATGTTGAATATTATGCATACAAACAAAAATTGTTTACACTTTAAAAAAACACTTTGTGACAAATGCGTTTCGACCTCATGAGGTCATCATCAGTGGTCCTCAGCTACTCAAACCCAGTCCCCAGGTTCATGCAGTTTCTCTAAAATCCACTTAATATCCTCCAATATCTACCTAGGTCTCCCAAAAGGCCTTTCCCTTGAGATTTCCTGACAGCAATTTTATAATAATTTCTCATTTTCCAAAGCATGCTACATGCCCTACCCACCTCATATTCTTTGATTTAATCACCTTAACAATATTAGATGAATACAAATATGATTATCATTATGTACTTTACTCTGTACTTGTTTTTAGATCCACATTGACACTTTTAACATCCTTGGTTAGTGTTATTTAGTTGGATTGTCAATGAAACACTTCTTTTATTGTCTTTGTGTTATTTTGATGACCAATTTCTCAGTCTTCCATTTTGAATACTTTAATTCACAAATGTTAATGTAAATGTTTCAAAAGTAGCTTTACAACTTCGCAGGAGAATATAAATTTATTTAAAGGATGTGCGCAATACTTTTAAATGCACAAATTTAGCCAAACACATCAAGTTTCATGCACATAAACTGTAGCACCGAAAACAGCCACCGCGAATGCTTCTGGCCAGTGTGATCAAGATGGCTACTTTCACAGGTGCGGAGTGAGCTTGTTGTGTGTTTTGGTTCAAAGAAACAAAGTCTGCTAAACAAGTTCGAAGGAAATTTCGCAACCAGTATCGCAAGAAACCACCCAGTAGGCCTACAATTTACTCATGGCACAGGAATTTTGTTGAGACTGGATGTTCTGTGTGCCATACCAAGAAAGCTGGTAGGCCACGTGTTTCTGAAGACGCCATGGAACAGATTAGGGAAAACTCTGCTCAAAGTCCACACAAGTCAACGAGACGTGCATCTCGGAAAAGTGGGATTCCACATGCGACTGTGTGGCGAGTGTTACGAAGACCTCAACAACCGTTTTCCACGTCGGTGGATTGATCGGGCCGCACCAATAGCATGGCCACCTCGTTCCCCAGATCTAACACCTTTAGATTTTTTCTTGTGGGGATTTGTTAAAGATCAAGTGTACGTGCCACCCTTACCTGCAAATGTGGCCAAACTCCGAACTCGAATTACCGCCGCAGTTGCTGAAGTGACACCAGAGATGCTACACCACGTGTGGCAAGATATTGACTACAGATGGGACGTCTGCCGCATAACAAATGGAAGTCACATTGAACCATAAAAATCCGATGGACATAAAACTTGAAGTGTTTGACTACATTTCTATGTTCTGAAATTATATGTTTCTCCTATCAGTTCACCAATATCTCGCCCTCAAGTTGTAAAGCTACTTTTGAAACATGCTGTATTTACCTAACTATAAAACAACCATGTAAATTACAAACATTAATATTAAAAGATTCTACATTATAACGTTGACACAAAACTTACAAGTAAGTTTAAGATACAGCTGAAACATATGCCAGTTGGAAAGATTAACTCAGAAAATTTCAACTTGATGCCTAGATTACAGACTGTTGTGCATTCTGGCACTTTTGTCAAACTACATTCAAGAGTACTGCAAAATGGCATCTGGGTCAAAAGAGATGTTTTGTGTGTTAGCTTCTCATATAATGAACTCTACTGACAGTGCAATGACATAAAATAAAACATGCCATCATGAGGATTCACACTTGCAAATGTGATCTTCACATCAGTGGTAGCCCCCCTACCCTACTGACTTGTCTAATGCTACGTTTACACGGTGAGAGTTGTGAGTGGTAGTTGGTCTCAAGTCGGGTATATGGAGAGAAGTATCGGAGGGTGTTTAGACATTGAGAGAATGTAGCTACAGTCAGCCTGAGAGCATCTTCCAATATAGTGAAAATTTCTCTAAGTGTCGGGCTTCTCTCAAGACCGTTTACACAGCGAGGCACTGAGAGTGGCTATAATGAGACATAACAGAACTCTACGCATTGTCAGACGACACAATGTGTTGCGTCAGCTGCGATTATTTTAATTCTTTTGAAGAGAAGAAGACAGAGAACAATTTGGGTGGAACCCTGGAAATCACGGTGACACAGACATGGAGCCACGGCCACTGCAATGTGTATGCGTCTGCTACACCCTGACCCGACTTTTTGGTCCGTATTTTCTGCAATTCCCCAGTGTACTGACACCTATGGCACATGCACATTCCATGATTACATTAACAACGAAATTCCACAAATATTGACTTTCGCAGTTATTTGCCACAATTACCGGAGGTTATGCAGTTTCCTTTGCACTTTGTTTACTGCCATTTGAAACCTGGCTGCTATTCCCTGCAATACTTTATTTTTTTAAATCTTTGTCTCTGTACGATTTTTCAAAAACATTCAGCAGACATGTTGTGGATTCGTACTCAATCAACAGTTTTGTTTCTTCGGCAGTCCACATCTTCTTCGTTCTCCTTGTGTCCTCCATTTCTGCTCTTGCGAGAGTGAATAAAAGTTCAGCTGTGTTGAACTTCGTAGAGCAGCACTATTCAGAGTTTAGTGTGGTCACGGGCCCAATTGCTGTATGGTTTACATGACGACAGCTGACCTCAGCTCCCTTCTCTCTCTTTTCTTTGTTTAGACTTTAGACTAAGAACCATAATCCCTAACGGTATTCTCTAAACCCTCGCCTTGTAAACGTAGCATAACAGGGAATATAGACAGCCAAGTAAAGTATAGTCCTCACATTCTTTTTCCCATGGGACTTGGTTACATGTCTTGGAAAAGTCATTACCAAATATTTGTTTTTTTAAAACGTTAGGCAGACATATTGGTGTCTTTGCTTAATAGATATGTCATAAATAATTGTAATTAATAGAAGACAGAAAAGTCACATATGGACAAATACTAGGAGAGTGAAAAAGATTGATATTATGATATCAGCTGTATGCTTACAACAGTTCTGGTTTCAGACTTAGAAATTTTAAGGGGCTTGATATTTGTTGCAGAGTATAAACAACATAATTAAAATGAAATAATAATTACTGGATCTATACTGAAATAGGCATGTATCTACTTTGGGGATAATGCATTAAACAACAACCCAAATAAAGACTGCTATCTTCCCAAATATAAGCTTGAAAAATGTTACCAAGTTTCATTTTTAAAAAAATAAGGAAATAATAAAATCACAAAAGTGTGTTCCCAGTCATTCTCTGTCTTACTGGAACAGAGTGAAGGAAACTGTTGAGATGTCGAGGGTAACAGAGCTTTGACTCTGCCAATTCCTGCAGCTCAACGGAAATAAAATGCTGCCATTGCTGCCACACTGCAACACTCTCCTAAAACCTCTTGCCATGGAGTAGATGCAGGCTGAGTTCCTCCAGCAGTCTGTAAACAAAAAATTATCTTAAATAGACATTTATTCAAACATAAAATGAGATATTTTTATATTACAACAGTTTATATTCCAACTTGTAACTCCATATAAACTATCCACTTCCTAACTCTCTTTACTTCACCCTGAAGATAAAGGAGATATGGTCCTCTGGAACAGTAGTATACAGCCAAAATACTGCATGCTGCAAGAACATTTGACAATTTAAAAGTCTAAATAATGTGATATATAAAGTAATAAAAATATTAATCTAATGAAACTTTTATCTTTAAAAAAATATATTTCCTGTCCATTTCAAAAGCACCTATTCTTTTATCATGATGCAAATATCCTAATTGCAAATTGGGTGTTTTGCAGGATCATACTCCATGCAAGTTATTTACTTACAAGTTGAAAATTATCAAACCAGACTGGACATTAAAGGAAATGATCATGACAGGAAAAATACTAGATATTCTAGAATTAGAGAAAGGCTAAAAGTAAAAACTTTGAAATACCCATGGGATTCCTAAAGTGGATACATTAAAACTTGAATAAGGAATAACTGCACTGAATATGGCTATATTATAAAGATGAAAATAATATTGCAATTAGTTACTTATAGTATATTCATGATAAACCATCATATACCATATTCATAATAGTGGAATTTTACTACATGAAAGAAGAACCTACTGTTCTGTAACATTAGATATGACAAATCCTCAAATTATCTCTACTTGAAGAACTGCAAATCAGTGCACAAATATCAAGTAACTAACAAAATGTTCATCTTCTAAGACTGAAGAAACATAGTTTAGTTACCTTAACATTGTTACTGTTTTGACTGAGGGAGAAACACTTTTGTAAGCTCGGACAAAGTTCACAGAGTGCCTGCAGGAACCGTGCTATCATTACAACACACCCCCTATTTACATGCTCTCCCACCTCTTTAGTCAAACACTGCACTTTGATGAACTGAATCAACCTGTAAATAAAAATTCCAGTTAATGCAAAACATTAACAATCTCTCCTAATAGCATCCTAGGCTTTGTACACACGAGTTTAAGGAAGTTGATGGACGCTGTTCTTCACACACAAATCAAATTTAATAAAATTCATTAAACAACACTTTGCCACATTCAAAACACAAACTAAGAAATAAGTATGTATCTGAATATGTATACCTTTCATCTAAACATTACATTTGTTTGATGAATATTTATTTGAATTTCATTTCAGTCTTCAGGTAGTGCAAAATTTCAACTGTTCCATACAGGCTTCATATTAAATATCATAAAAATCTGACAGTGTCTCAGTTTAAATATACAAAAGAAACACAGAGTGTTTCCATGTACATAAAAACATCACTAAAAATAGCATTATATGATATGATTATTTAACAACTCTTGCTTAAACTACAGAAGTTACACAGTACTGAATGAAATCGGAAAATGACGATGAATGATAAGTGGATGGAATTAACGAATTATTAGAAGGTTAACATACTATTCTGGCATCCACCTAGAGAAGAAAATCATGAAAAAAGTCAAATCAGGATAGTTGGTACCAAGCCAAAATTCAAATTTTGTAACATGCAAATACAAGTCTAGAGCATTACTACTACAACATTATACTCAGAAAACATATATATGAAAAGTATTCTAGTTGCATAATTACAATATAATAACAATTGAACTCACTGCTGAATGTTCTCCATGCTGCATGTCCTTAAATGATCCTGTAGCTCATCACCATCTGCTAACTTTCTTGATGTCACCACACTGTCCTTCAGATAATGTTGCAGATCCTGGAGCAATGCCAACAGCTGCAAGTCCAATTCAGCACATAGGTGCTCCACACATGGTGAATAGCCCTTTGCTTTCATCAGTAAACCTATAAGATATTTGTCTCTCATATTAACAACTACTTTGTAAGAGAAATTATGAAATTAAAATGAATGGTATACTACTTTGTCAATGCTTGTCTTCTGTGTTGTAGCACTATGTGGACTTGTACACAATTACCAGTGTTTCACACTAACAACTTCCAATAATTTGTCTTGTACACTATTAATCTTGCCAGTCTTCCATAACAGTTTGTATTATATTGATAAGAATATTCTGACAATTTCTAGTCAGTTGTATAACTATACTTTACTTTCTCACTGCCTGTCACCTTCTTTCTTCCTGCCGCAAGAGATAGTTATATCCCGAACTAGAGTCAGTGGGGAACAAGGATCACCTCAGGGTGGACGTGGTAATTTTTTTTTATAAAAATAAACAAATTAGGAACAACAAGAACACAAAATACTTTTACTTTTGAAATTTGGATCCTCTCATACAAAACTTCCCATAACAGGTACAAAAGTTTTGTTTACTGGCTGAAAGCCCACTGTCGACTGACTCCACTCGAGTACTGCACATGTTGTTCTTGACCTAACTTCCAGATCCCTTGCTAGCGTGGGAACCACCACACGACTTGCTAGCGTGGGATCTTTCACATGTGATTTGCTGGCCAGTTCAAATTTTTAATTCCACCAGTTACATGGGTTCTGGACTGGTATAGTTTTATCACTTTTATATACAGGTAGGTACAACAATAGGTTAATTCAATAAAATTAGACTCAGGTACCAACAGCTCAGTCTGCCTTAACATTTACAAGTACATTTAACACTTGCAGTAAACTATCCACCTATTCAAAACATTGTGGGAATTGTCAAGTAGACTACATTTTCCATCTTCTACCAAGTAAATTATAAGTTGGTAATCCTTCTTAAACTCATTTAAGCCTCTTCTCAAGTCTGTTGGGGCTGTCCCTATGGCTTCTTTGGGAATGATTAATTTAGTCTTTCAGATGGAATGCCCTGAGAGTGAACCTGGGCCTCTGAAGTGAGAAGCTTATGACTGTCTATGCCACGGCATGGGCAGTTTCATGTCTTATGCTGCCGATATTCTAATAAATGATGTTAGAAAATGGGAAGTACAGAATCATGCCAGTGTTGCATTATTTCTATTAACTTTGCTTGGACTCTGCAACAATTTCAGTTTAACAGGTTTTCGTTGATATAATCATTTTGAACACTCTTCGTCAAACCATATTTCTTTTGCTTCAACAAATAATACCTTGCACAATATTTGGTTTTAGTTGCAATATGCTTTATAAGAGTTCCCAATCCTACAGATGTCCATACAATCATCCAAGTTTTCAAAAGACGCAAGCCTATTTGAGATTTTAGCCTGACACTGTTCTTTAGTGCCCACATTGTGTAACTTCTTGAGATTATACCTACTGCTGCAGCATTTGATTTAGTCAAATGTCACTGCATTACCACATACCATATCTGAATTTACTCCACACCAATAAACAATTTTCTCCTTTTGCTGACATCAGACTTCCCAAGCAAAAGTGTTAAATCTTTCCATACCAAACTTTTATCTTGAAAGGTTACTTAATGAAAATCTTTCCCTGATTTCTGCAAACTCCAGACAATGGTCAGCCTCACAATTATCTCCTCTAAAAGACTGGACAGCCTTTAAACAACCAAGGTGAAAACAGAGAAGGAATCAGACAGGGAACTTGAAAGTAATTAATATGGGGAGACATACACGTGCTTTCAACATAATGGAATGAAAAACCAGGTTTCAACCATTTGCATATGGGTACTCCATAGCTGAAACACCTATACAAACCAGGACGCACAACTTCACCTCTCTTTCGTTGTTGATCCTGGCTGTTCTCTCCCTGAGGCAGGTCACTGCCCCATTCCTTCCATATAAACCAGCGGAGATCATGCTCTGGATGGATGCACCTGTCCACAAGGACAAATTCATCAGCCATTGCAATAGCAATTTTACGATTATAGCCATACAATGACACTGTTAGTGAAACAAAATTATAAGAGCATAGTGGCCAGGCAACTTCAAATTCCATGAGCTTCACCACAGTTTTCATGAAACAGTCATTTTTTTCATTGGTGGAGGACAGACATAGGCCAACAACCTCTCCCTCCTCAGAAAATAAGAACTGTAAGAGTAACAAGAGAAACTTCTGTGACAGGATATACAGCAACATTCATCAAAAATACTACAATTTTACTATCTTTATTTCAAGGATATTTCATGGGTACCTGTACTAGCTTCATCTTAGTTCCAAACATAAGCATAAGTGTCTACAGTAAAAATAAACATATGTATTACTGTACAAAATTCACTGTAAAGTGCATAACTCACTTTTCTTGTGAACTGTCACGAGCAACAGCAGCAAGTGAAGACTGTAACTGTGAAAGGGCTACACTCCACTGCTGGGACACAAGGGACTTGGCCCTTTGGGTGACAAGTGGCTGAAAATATGCTTCCCAGAGATTGAGACCGCGGGGGATCAACAGCTGTTGGCACATGGTTTCCCAGTTCTCAACCACTCCCAGGTTACTGACTTCTTCACGTATCCCATGCAGGCCCCGTACTGAGCTTACTAAACTCAGTAATGATATCACTTGCTGCTGGACATAGTCACGCACCCAGTCAAGCCAATTAGTCACATTCTCTCGCATGTCCCCTGGTGACACTGGATTCACTGGTTCTGTTGTAGAAGGCCTACAAAAATGCATTGCAAAGTCAAAGAAGTGATCATAAATATTGAAAAAATCTATACACATAATGTGACACAGCCCTGTATGAATAGGCCATTCCACTTCAATTCAACAAATTTTACAAAAACTGACTGTGCTCAATATCACTATATTCTGCACAACTTTGTAGGCAAAATGTGTACCCCTTCAGAGCCAGCATATACATTTAGAGTGTGTTCTGTAAAGTACCTTTGAAGGAACACTTATCTTGTGACAATAGTGTGCAGAATATAAACAGCTGGTATGTAACTTTTCACCAGGTTCAGATTACAGTAACTCTAAAATTGTTCATTGCATGCACATGCTTTTAACCTAAAATTATAGATCTATAAGAGTACTTGTAGGGCATATATTACTTAATGCTATCAGGACAATGCTCTAACAAACTAATCAGTTTGTTCATGGTAACACTCAATCCTTATCATACCTGAATTCATGAATAAGTGGAGGTAAAAACTTTTTGGCTGCTGAGTCTTTCAAATCAACAAGTGTGACTGTTGGTGAAGCATCACATCCCACAATACTCTTCAGCTGTTTCCAAATCAATCCTTCAGGTTGGGACGAATTTTGACTGCCATCTAAGAAAAATAAGGCATTTTAGTTTTTCCACAATCACAAGTCAAGACTAACTAAAGAATGAATAATTAATATTTTTGGACATTTTTGTCTATTCCACTAAAAATTCTAAAAACAGATGTTTCAGAAGCTGGCTCTGCTTCCATTATCAGGTGAAACCATACAATCTATAACAGTATTCAATATACTGATATCTGGTAACAACACAATGCTAAAGTACAATGGTGTTGATGCCAACACTCACGTGCTCAAAGCAGCAAAGTAATACGACATCAGAGAAGGGAAA